AGCCGATTCGAACCGGAGAATAAATAATGACAGGATCTGTCGATGGCTATCGGTTCCTTTCTCCTTTTTAACTAGGCGAGTAAATCGGACATAATCCTCATGGAATGGCGTCGTTCGTGATTAGCGTGCTGACTGCTGCTCTAAGCCTCCAGGCTGGAAGATGGCGTGTTAGATATGGTTATACCTTGTCCGGACTTTTGACTAGATGGAAGAAGACATCAAGCTCTATCCTTAGGGTGCAGCTGCTGTTGCATTAATTAAACTCGTCCTATTTGAAGACGTTCAAAAGGCGCTACAGTAGCTCTCAAGAGTTTTTGCTACTGAAAACTGCTGCGCGTCTCGGTGATTTTACTTTTTACGAAACAGCTTGGCTGTATGTTATGCTAATTTTTCAAGGAAAAGAAACGAGATCGTTCGTCAGCGACGGAGAGAACGAAGATCCTAGATTCTAGCTAATAGTTACCTGCTTACGTAGTCTACTGAATTTTTCAAAATCCAAGTAAGCTCTTGCGTAATCTTGAATTTCGTAACTCTACCCTACCGTGCATATAGATTTTCATGAAATATCAAGTAATTAAAGGTATATTAATTGGATTCTAATTACAGTTATAGGAAACCCCCTATACCGAGTTGGCTAACGATCCAGGAGAGTTCAGGTTTCTTCCCTAAAATCCATTATTTCCATGACGTCAATGGGTCCAGAAATGGCGGCGGTAGCTACCAGTGCCTCCTCTCCAGCATCTCGTTCGGTGTCGGAATAATGACAGTAATTAAGGACCCTGCGTAGTGATTACTGCACTTTCTCCTCTATGTAGCTACGTGCACACATCCACGCGCAAGGAGATCCTTGCTCATCACTGCACATCGCAAGCCCGCTTTTCCCTTCATGGTTGCACAGAGAACCACGCGGCTCTATGCTCCTCGTATATAAAGGGGATAACTCATTGAGTGAGCGCGCAGTGTAGAGTAATTACTTTAATCACATCCTGGCAGCTAGCGTCTTGATGAAGTCATTACTGGCCTCGCCTTCATGAAAGTACCAAGCCGCATCTTGTATTTAGCGATCCGTAGCGTGATACGATGCGCCAGAAGCGCGATAATTCCTAAAGTCCCTACATACTGTGCCAAACGAAAGGCTTCGATCTTCTAATCATTGGCTCCTATGAGCACCCTTAATTATTAATTAAGGTCAAGTGAAATAGAAGTACAGAGACCGGTGAAGAGGACTGAATCGCGAAGCAACGAACCTATCCTACCCATCTACCTGTCTTACTAGATACTCATTCATCTGATTATCTGTCAATTCGCCACGAGGATTTTAAAAATTTCACAACAATAAAAATCAAGTAAAATCAATTAATCGGCATGAAAGATTGATTAAAATAAATGATTTATTTAAATAATTAAGAGTATCGTCTTGATTCCTATTTATTTTAATGTTAATAAAATTTGCAACAATTTTCTCGCTCAAAGCTCTCCCACAGCATTTGTTCACAGTCGGGCTACTTTTTCTATGAAAGTATTAAGGATGCCAAATAAATGTCCCATCCTCTCATTTTCCAATTAACGCGTCTCTAATTAAGATTAACTATAAAGCCCCCAAGGCTCCCTTAATGACGGATAACGGTCGTACCTTTAATTGATGCGGTAGCGAGAGTAACGAAATCACGAGTGAATAGATGCGGAGATATAATTATTCGTGACAGGCGCCAGAGCCATAGCTAGCCAAGCCTTCGGATAATAGGTGGTACGTATACCTCCGAGGAGAAAAGAGGAGCCCTTTCTTGCCGTCTTTCTGGGTCATTTGGTTCCTCGGGTTCGCGGTTAAATTTTCCTCCTCGCAGGACGATACTGTCTGCCGACGTAATTTAAAAAAGAATCTGTGCACCAGGAGCACTTACTCCCGTGCCGCGATAACGGTACAAGAAGTAACCCAAGAATGCGACTGTAATTTCTTTGCTTATAATTTTCCCCGTTCTATTACCCTCAACACTGGCTATGCTTATGAGCAAAGTGCAGAACACTTCTGGCCTGAAGCTCCTTGGGATCAGCTGGTACAACAACTAAGTAACGCGGGGCCGCGCACCTTAAGGATAAAACTTGTGCAATCCCTTCGTGCGCAGATTTACAGGATGATGAGGACCCTCAGGACACAAGGTAGACGGTTAGCTGTATATGATACGTATATGCACCGAGCTATAGCAGCTTCGCCTTAAATTGCTTTTCCGCCTACTCTGGATTAACCAAGGAAACGAACATGCTAGTATTTCTCTTTGGAAGGTTGGATAACACCTGCCACTATCAAGAACCAGTTCACCAAGTCTGGCTGTACCTTTTAAGATCATGGTTTTAACATCTTACGGTGGGTACCCAACAGCCTGCATACTGATTTTATTTCTATGATTAATTCCTATAACTACTGATCGATTACTTGGGGCTGATTTTTAGAAACCATATTACCTCTTGGGAACAGGAGTTAGAACGAAGATACCATTGCGGCATAGGCAGGCGGTTTCCACATAGGGTAACCAACACAGTCGCGTGGTATTAAGTCATTACGGTCGGGGCCCGTCCTAATAATACCCTTTGCTTGGAGTGAGCGAAGTGAGCTAGGTCCCATCCATCCATCCGACCATCCAGCACGACGTGCCGCATCCTCTTCACCGTCAGGGACTCTCAACTCGTCTACCCTCCATAAAAAGGTCCTTCGAGAATCTGACTAATCATTGCCGAAGAGCCAAATTGGACTTTGTCTTTAAAACACAGACACGATATTTTCAGACTGAAAAATCACCACTTGAAAAATTGATACCGGTTTCTTCATAGCAATGCATACGGATGCCAGATAATACCTGGATAATAACTCTTAACGAGCTTTCTGTGTTACACCGGTGGCTTGATCATTGCCAACTGAGGTAGCAGTGTGTTTGGCCGTTGCACTTATAAAGTCATTAAGTCATCAAACTGCCGGATGCCGGAGCAAATTTTTTAGGCAAAAAAATGAAATCTGGATCAATGTTTTTTTTCTCGTGATACCAAATTACTACCTATTACTTCCTTCTCTTTAATGTCTTCCTTTTTGAAATCTGACGTAAAATCAGTTTAAAGGGTATCGAGTTCGAGGATGGAAAACCAAAAAGCTTCGTCCAGGTATCGGTTTCCTGGTGGGCATGCTCGGCTTACGTACTAACGTGTACCTACATCGTAGAACTACGCGGGTCTGGTGAGTTGCATTGAAACCCCACGTGGGTAATCCCGTAATAAGATATTAATGCCAGCAATCTCAGGAGTAGGACGTGACTTTAGGGCTGCCCTCTATGCAAAGACTCGTACACTCGTAGTAGGATAGAAAGAAAGAAAGAAAGAAAGAAAGAGTCAGTAATGCAAGAGACCATACTCTGGGCATTCTATATGAGAATAAAGAAGAGAGAATGGATAATAAAGAGTGAATAAAAAGAGGAGAAAAACGGTCAGCAAAAGAAAGTAAAGGTATAGAAACAGTAGAGTAAGGATCGAAGGAGAATGGTAGAGAATGGATGAGAATGGAAGAGTAGCGCCATACTCCAGCACGAGATAATAACTTCATACGAAGTGCCGGTGGTCCAGCATATATATATACCATGGCACTGCACACGTGAAGAGTGAATCGACGCGCAAGGGCGGAGTAGAAAATTCTCTGTAGAATCTTGAAAGCCTCTATATAACTACGTATATCCATAACCATCCCCGTGTGTACAAACTATATGCGCTACAGTCCATACAGTATAACTATGGGGCATACGGCGATCGTGTAATAAGATATTACGAGGTTAAAGCCGCGAGAGCCCGTCGGGCCAAGAGCAGAAAGCGAACCCGGTGGTCTTTGCGATTTCTTCGGATAGCGGCCACGTAGAAGAAGTGGTCCTTCCTTATCCTTAAGTCAACTGGTTACCTATATGTCTACCTACCTTTCCAAGAAATTAATTCAGCATCGGTAACATCACCGTCTAATTAAATACTTCCGCGAGAAGTTCTAGGTTATCCAAAAATCTCCGTGGCGGAGGTACGTCAATTATTTTATACGGTAAAAAAAAATAATTTACTTCTTGGATGAAATACTCGTTGATTGCTGTATTTTGTTCCAATTCTGTCTACCATGTACTACCGTTTCACTAGACATCCCTGGATAGTAGGTCCTAGTCCGATGAGCGGCTGAGTGTCTGATTAAAGACTAGCCATCGATCGGATCTCGCGTCTCACCTTCAACACTCGAGCTATACCTAGATAGAGATTCGACTGCTAGCTATGCCAAGGTGGTAAGGGACAATCATCAATGCATCTGCTTCCTACCAATACCTAATTCAAAAGTTCCCAGGACTACGATACTGCCTTCCTATCGTTGTCTACCATTCACCCGTCAGAGCTCGTTCTCATCCGGAACGTCATATATTCATTCTACTTCGTGATAATTTCCATTCTAGTTAGCTCCGCAACGTAATACTACTACAGTCTTAACAGTCCTAGCGTCACTAGCTTGGTACCACTACTTCACGTTCTATTCCCTTTTCTCGTACACCAACCCGACTTGGGAACGGTACTTACTGCAGACTCGGTAAACCATAATACAACAAGATCTGATTACCAGAATTGCCTTATTTGCATCCAGCCAGCCGTCGCTCTGTCTCTTGGATTGGAATCTTGAGATTGAGATGAAGGACTCATGCATATCATCAGGACCCATACTTCTCCTTACGGTTCGCGAATTCGCCTTTGAGTTATCTAGGAAGATGCTATGCAACCAGCCAGGCAGCCAGACTGTCTCTCTATATCAAGAATCCATGACTTCGACATCTTTGAGTATCGTCCTTCCGAGTCCATTACGTCATTGATTTCCCTCAAGTATGAAATTCCGTTATGGACATAATGTACAGATACCGGAAATGAGAGGATTTCATGATCAAAATCACAGTGGAATATCTTTATAGTCGTTCTGTTTATGTAATCTTTATGTCTTGTTTCAGAAGGGAGAGAACAGTGGCAGTAAGGAAGTTACAACCCTGATCTTCAACTGAAAACTAATGTCACCCAGTTTTATTATGACGTTCCATAACATTAATATTATATTGGTAAGAATTTGTTTATCTCATCCACATTCCCACCGTTTTGTATTGCTCTTTTCTATCTTTATATGTTTTAGGTGCACTGCCGCAAGTTCTTGAAGGCGCCTAAAAATTTAATCAACCTCAACTAGGGGGGGACGGGGGGAGGGAGGCTGACCAACCCTAGAATTTTTCCAGGGATTCAATCAAACGCACTCCCTACAGATACAACGATATATATGCAATCTATGGGATTTTAATGAACGAGATGTCACGTGTGTTTCGTGGACACCCTAACAGATTTCCATATCACGGTAATAATTTCACGTTACATTGCTACTGGCTACGATCAATTTATACATATTTACATATACGTCCTATAGGATGTTCACTACAAAATCAACCCGCATCTCTACCGACGATTGCAGAAATACAGCTGCAGTCCCAGGCATGGATCTTTCATCTCCGGTAAGCATAGTTTAAACGGAGCAGATGGCTCTGGAACACCTAGAGCACATAGAACTAGACTGGATGGTATCTCCTCTTGCTCGAGAGGAGCGAGAAACGGTTGCTCATTTGCCTAGTCAAAGGCTCCTTTCTATTCTCCTCCTTCGACTTTCCATCTTCTTAGCCGTCCCACCCCACACCCTTCCCCACAACCACCACTTTCCAATAAGATGCTGAGGCTAAAGACGATGGTGTCAGGGATTCCGAGGCTTTACGCAGGCTTTCTTCAAGTGGCTTCTTATCAGCCTATCCGTGCCTATACCTATCGTACTCTCTTCAGGTTCCTCCTTGGCGCATCTACAACCACTGATAACTGTACAAGAACATATGCTTTAGGTATACACATATCCACCTAAGGGGATTCTGTGTCATCAAAGCGGAATGGGACAGAGGCACAAAGTGACAAAAGCTTTTCTTTATTTACTGAGGCCTCAGAAGTGGTTACCAACTATGGTATCTCAGTGTCGTTACAAATAATTTACGTGCCCATGATAACCCTTTTCTTTGGATACCATATCACTTACCCAAAGGAATCGTAAGTACACGGTATAACGTTAAGTCAAAATGGAGTAGACAAGAGGTAAGCGATAAAGGGTTTCTCTCTTTGCTGAAGTCTCTCAACCACTTGGGGAAGCCTCTTCCTCAAGGAGAGACACGCCACTCTGCCTCTTCGTGCCAGGATTTAGATTAGACTTAGCCCAAGGCTCGGGAATGAAATGCAGTCAGCCTTGATTCTGTAAACATAGCATTTCCATATCGGGCGTCGACAGGCTACACGACTAATGGGCTTGATGATCCAATGGTTGACGTTCAGGATTACGAGTATGAACGTTTCTAGGCAAACGACGATTGCCAAGCGCTTAACGCAGGATGCTGCAGTTTATCCAGGAAATTCTGGTATGGATATTTGCACGTTCTCTCCCTTAATCCGGAATCCGCTGACTCTGAGAACTGATCCAATTTTCTTGCACCTATGCATATACATTATGTCACTCAAGATCCATCCTCATTTTCATCTTCAAGGCTTCATCTCTTTCTTGTGATTATTCTTCATGAAACTTTAGACGGGGCTACTTTTTATTTTATTAATTACGCATCTGTATGCTAATGCCATATGAATTATATTGTCGTGTCTTTCTAGATGCAAATCCATTTTATTGGCTTACGAAAAGAACAAGGGTTCGAGTCTGTCTCGTTACGAAAAGGTGAACCACAATGGGGTCTTAATACCAACCATCCATTAGACCAACTAAATCCCAAGGGACTTTACCGTTGATTTAATCTCGCTGTTTTTTGCGGAAAATTTCGCTAAATTTCACTAGGCCTGCTAATGCTCCAGTACGCGTTTACTAATCCGTCGCGGATTTATGATTTCGCGTTTCGCGAAATTCAACGGTCTCCTGTTCCCCCATTCATTCTAAAGGGTCGCGACGTCGACTGTGTTACCATTGTGTTTTGTTCATTCGTTTTCTACTGCCACCAATTAATTCCTGCACAGTCGGTATTCGTATCTCTTTGTGAATACACGGCCGTACAAAGGGAAAGCATCATTCAGGGGCTCTACGTTGACCAATGTCTGATCACACAATGATCTTTTTCACATATATGATTAATAGCAAATCAATAACGTACGATATTCTCTAAAAAGAAATTTATTAGTTTTATTCTCCGTCATATTTTGATTAAAGAACACGTCACGTAGAAAAACCTATTTTGCTTTTCTATGCCAAATCCCTAGTCAGACTCCAATGGGTATTTAATAAGAATTTAGGCTAGAGTGAATGGACTTGAGTTACATATATAGAAATTCTCCTCCGGCAGCCCAACATATAGTACAGACAATCAGAGGCAGGTTGACTTTTGGCGCTAGTCACTCACTAATGGACCCGCTAATGTGATTATAGCGACGACCTTTGGTCCTTCAGACCCCAGGCAGAACTGGTTGCCATCACCTTCGAACCTCCAGCTTCACACTCCCTGGAGCACGAAGAGACGTAGGAAAGGCAATGACGGTAGTAGCTACAGAGAGGATCCACTGGAGGGTGGGAGTGTAGCATAAAGGGAGAGAAAGTCTCCCGAAAGAAAAAACGAAAAAGATAGAAAAAGCAAAGGCTCGTGGCAATTTTTCATCTCCATTTTCCTAGGGATTCTCGCGTGTCTTTTATCTTTTCTCTTCCCTCCGTTCTTGCCGGACACTTCTAGTCTAATAGCAATTTACGTTCTCGTTGTGGAAGTTCAATGGGAGTCTCTATATCTAGATATGCCCATCTTCTTCTCGACTAGCTCAGTACGGGTAAGCTACTTTCGACTAGCGCAGGACGCGATTACTTATTAAAATGCATTTAAGAAAAGCTGCTTTACTCAGCTACTGTTCTAAGGAATTGAAGAGAGAAGGGTCTTTTCGAACAAGCATCCAGGATAGGTGGGTACTCTTACAATTTTTTCTCTCGATAACGAATTCACTGAACGTTATATCCTATCTACGAAGAGGGGAATGGTGGGTACCTAGTACCCAACTGAGGTCAAGAAAGAAGCATTGCCATCGAAGATGAAGAATAAAGGGATCGTTCATCTCTCCAGTGAACTCCGCACCCGACCTGACCTGGCTGCTATCCATAAAACCATAATTTCCAGCTCGCATGCTGCCCGACTTTCTCCGCACCCTTCAGACCTCCTGGTTTAGAGGCTGGAAGCCGTTCGAGAGGACGCGTCATATAATATCCTCGTTACTTCAGGATTGAGGACCGATCAACTTGCACCAGGAAGAAAGATGTCTTCATTTGGACCGGTGCATATGTATATCGCCCTGGGGCTTCTTTCCATCTACTTTTTTTTTCTTCACTACTTCATTTCTTCCTTAGTTCTTTTTTGCCTCGGGATGATGCTTCTCACTTCGGGGAAGTTAGCAGGTTACGAAGACATTATCCTGTGGGGTGACATAATCACGGGGCCCGGCCCCAGTAATTTGATGGGACTTTGAGATAACCCCGTATCTAATCCTAACCCACTCAGCCATCATAGTTGGCTAACCCGCGACTTCCATAGCTCGGCACCCTGGCTCTACCTCATCATCGTAAACTTTATGCCACGCGGCACTACTATACCTACACCCCCCGCTATAGGTATTACAGGGTACATAGCTGCGAGCTAGGCGCAGCCCTCAATTTTATCCAGCTCTTTATGGTCCATCGGACCTCGGCTGAACTTTGAAAGAGCTACTCTCAGCTCCCTCGACGTCTTCAAAGAAAAAATATATATAAGTATAGGACCCTTAGACAAGAAGACATAATACCAAGCATCCCTGGGCAAGTAGTAAACGTGTATGGATATATTTGAAAAAAAAAAAAACATATATTCGAGTGACTGTGGATTATACGAAATTCGAGGAAATAGGAAGCAGAAGACTGTTAACGGAAATAGCAAAGTTTTCCGGAAAGCGATTAACTCCAGTTAGCACACGGCATACGTTAATCCGGACAATCTCGAAGTCCGAATTTCACCGAAGCGAATTCGACGCCATTGTTCCATAGCTAGGATAGCCGGTAAAAAAAAGTGCATTTGCATTAAAATATTCAGTTTCCAATGGTAACTCTCAGGCAACCGGGGTACACGGATAAAACATGAAGATGATGTTTCGCCGACGATTACACTAACAAAAAGTCCATTTACATGAAAACTCCCTCCTCGTATCAATCCCTCCATACTAATATATTAGCACTAACCCATTTGAGCTTCCACCAAACTGGCTGCGATCGCACAAACTCGAAGGACGAGTCCATGAAAAATGAAGGCGACGCGAGAGCGCTCCTCGATTTACGGCTCCTCGTTCGACGCAGCCGATTTTTGCTCGTAAGGCCGACGCAGGCGCCACCACTGTACCCCAGCGCGTACTAACAGCACGGTGAAATATAACCTCCTTCTGTCCGTCATAAAGTTATAGCCTAGCGTGCCGGAGCGCCATTAGCAGCCTCGTAAAAAAAGGTCCCTGATTTGTTTCGCGTAACGAGGGTCCACACGGTATAGACGGAATAAGGCAAAAGGTACGAAGGGCGCCGAAAGACCTGGTTTAACTGAAACTGGAGTCTTCTCTGAAAATTGCGAAAAGGTGGAACTGAGGTGAATATGAAAGGAGACTGTCGTCGGTGCTGGCGAGAGTTCTTACCGGAGTCTAAGGATGACGGTACTGCCCCATAGTAGGTAGAAGTAGGTACTCTTAAATACGCATTAACACTCCTTCCGAGAGAGGCTCCGATGTATTTTTAATTACGATCTTTCTTTATGCGCGATAAAGAGACTTTTTATGACGGCACAAAATCTCGTGAAATTAGACACTCCCACCTACCCTCCCGTCTTTCAATACTTCCCTTAATCCCTTTTGCCTACGCTCGAGCTCACTGACTATTTTAAGGTTAGCTCTGTATACGAATCTGACCGAGAGAGAGAGAAAGGTAGAAGCAACTCGTTAAAAAACTCAGCGTATAATCTCAACGAATTTTATACGACTACCTAGAGACGTTTGCAAAAGACGTTTAAACGTAGAGAGAAATTTTTAAAAGAAGTTTATAATACAGCATTATACCATTAAAATTAAATTTATCAACCTCGCGATCTCCACTCGCTTCGATATTACAGACTGTCAATACTGATACTTTTCTTAAAAGCTGCTTGCAGAGGTCGAGTGAGTTTCCAATTATTCAAGTCAATCCACCACGTCCGAGTTTGCATACCCACAACTACGTACCAATAACGCGTTCGCTCCAATACTTCCTAGTCAATATTCAATCCCCGAGAAAATTCATTGAAAAACGTCTTGAGCAGACAGCTACATCGAAATAGTAATACGGTTACGATTACACAGAGTCTAAAAAAAAAAAAAAGGAAAAATCGACAGCATATCTGTTTATAGCTATATATCAGTTCCTGGAATGGCTATCGCACAAGCAAATGAAAGAGCTTGTTATCGCCAAAAATTGGTCTGATCACGCTTGATTAGTCCGCAAATGAATATGCTCTCTGATAACGGCATCAAAACACAAAGAGAGTATACGCCTCAAAGAGCAACCAAGCTGATAATCATGGAGAATAAATAGGTATTGAAAATTCATTCATGCTTCCAAAATATACATACCTATATCTATACGTATCATTAAATACAACAAGTAACGACCATCCCAGTAATTGCATATGAAAATAATATTATGAAATCCACTGATGAAATCTTGCTCAGAAATGCTTCTCTTTTTCAGTAACCTATCGAACGTCGATCAATTATACAAAACTCAAGGTGCTTCAGAAATTATTGTAAATTCGTGGAGGAAGTAGAGTTGACGCCTCTCTTGTATACTATATTGATTATCCGTTTAGCTGGCCACTGCAATGCACCAGTCGAGTCGGTTCCACTCGGCAGAGGCTCGAGTCCCTCTCGTCAATTTGCATTTCGCGATTCCTTCTCGATAGATACCTACCTACGTATCATCTGTGCACTCAAGTTTCCGAGTTCGTCTGAAAATTCAGCTAAGAATGGCTAGCGGGGTAAAATAATGTAGGATAATTTCAGAGGTAAACAGACAGAACGTAATTCGTATTGAATAAAATTTATTATCTAGGAACAAACGTTCTAGGGATTTCTAGGGGAAAAAAGAGAATGCATTTAGATACAGGGTTTTACCTTGCCGGGAAACAACGCGAGACAAGCGAAATCCTTGAATTTCTTATGGGTCCCTGAGGGTGGAAATTCCTCTCCCATGGGAGGACATTGCCAATGGTGTCCTTACTCGAAGGATGATCGTAAAGTAGCGCTTCCGCTTCCAAGTTATCGTTCGCTTCCCCAATTGATTACATGAATTATAGATGCGACCCGTAACGTGACACGATCTTCCTCGTGCGAGTTACCTTCTACCATACTGGCCTACGTGTTTATGCTTTCAGCATCATTAATGTCTACTGGAAAAGAATTAAGACTGGACCGTATAAGCAGTACGTATTTATCTACGCGATATCACTGCGGATCGTTTTATCGTATGTTGTGACTTATCCTTGAGGATGATTCGTGAACATCGTGTGTAGAAATTTTTGTAGGCTATATTCATAGCGTGGCTACTTGCAGAACGAAGCTTGATGTCTGGTGAAAATTTCATTTGCCATGTGGCTGCGGTGCAAGTGAATTGATTTTCTTTGTGTATTTTTAACATTACAGTAAGAGTCCCAGTGAGATTAATTACTTTCGTTAATACGACCTGTGAAATTGAGAGTATTGCAAGATTGCGAAAAATAGATGAACAAAGTGGATAACTGAAAATAAATTTGAAAAAAAACAAACACGACGACCAGCAGCAAAGGGTTTTTTGCTCGATATAATATTACAGGTTCGTACACATCGATGTAAATTTAATGAACGTTTTGCGTGGCCGTCTTAAGAAAAGCGTCGCGACGAGGACGCGCCGATGTCGCGCGTCAAATCCTTTTGTCCCAAGCGATTACATTTTTTTCTCTTTTTTTCTCAAGGACTTAGGCTCGCACGCGAGACCATCCCCTGCAGGCTACTCGTTCATTGTAATAATAGCAACCGGCAATGGAATCACATTTCTTTATCCCCTTTGTCCATATTTCTAAAAGAAACAAGGAGGCTAACGCATATAACAAGAACACGCTCCATTTTGCACTCCCTTTGTGATGCTTCAAACGTAGGAAGAAATAATTTGTGAAATAATTATCACGGTAAAGGCAAGGTTGGGCACGAAAGGGAAAACATTAAAAAACATGGAAAACCAGCAAATCGTAGCAACACTCAACGCACGATACAATTTCCTGGGGAAATATATAGTTGTCGAAGTTGGAATTAAACCCTAGTCTATATATCTATATGTTCAATTGAGAGGTAACCTATAAAGGGCACGGTAGCTAGATGGGCAGTTATTTATGAAAAAATCGATGGTTATACCTCAAAAGCATATTTTACGTTAGAGCCATGCCCGAGAGTCCATAAAATAGTTGGTATAGCAAGTACTGGCCTCCTGGCCCGAGTCGGCGGTAACTTAGTCCTATGATTGACGGTTTCCTGTTTCCGGTTTGCCGGGACTGATATATTATAACGTGCAGGAAGTCTGCGCGATGCATCGCCGCAAAATTATTGGCTCTTTCCTTATGTTCTTATCGAATTTGGCCAAGGTTGCCACGAGGGCCTAATGTTTACCAGTCGCAGTGATGGGGATTGCGAAATAGCGGGGGAATTTTTCTCTTGGTGTCCTCAACCCCTCGAAGATCAAAACTTTTTTTCGGGAAGCACACGCGGCGAAGACCAAAAGCAATCCTCGTGGTATTAGTGTTGCGTGGAAGTCGACGGTTGCCGTAAAATATTTTATATCTGGACTGTACCTGCAATTTTCAATTCTTTCCTAACTATTTTTGTTTTTTATTAATTGACAGTTCCTGCTTGGAATAGTTTCCTCAACCAACCATTTAATTACTGACAAGATCCGTCTATAATATCGCATATAAACACTCACACGTGCTATCCTACCATGCCGTGTAAAGAAACTCGTCACGCGTACATTTTTAACGAGACTCTGTTCTTCTCCCCGGCAACGGGTAGCAGACTGGGGTGGTACATGAGTAGTTGGGGTTGGTGCTTCAACTGTCTGAACTCATACGCACCTGGGATATACGGAATAATTATAACTGTGACAATTAATGTAACTTCAAGCATCAACTTTTAATCGTGAGATTGCATTTAACTACAGTGCATTATGAGATTTTATAAAAATTTTGCTTTCCTCTTATTATAATGCACTACAGTGCGAAACTATATTTTTTATCGTTACTGTGCTACTTGGCTGTGAGGTTACATCGGGGGCTTTTATACTTGAAACTCGCTTGCTCCTGTAGGGACGGCCGCAGTTGCTAATTTTGTTAGGTCCTGGGATGCATGTTGCGTCCAACTTTTTCCAGCTTCTATTCCTCTCTGTGCTGTCTGCTGAGCCGTGTGCCATCCATTCTCAACAGCATGCTTCGCATATTCGAAAGAACGATTGGTAGCATTCTGGGCGACTCTCAGCGCGTCCTCAGCTGTCTGCTTGAGCTTGTCGAAGACGCTTGCATCTTCTTGGGGATGCGGTCTCGAGGACGCCTGTCGAGATGTGGGAGAATCAGCGTTACCACCATTGTGGGAGAAACATGCATAACGTTACTCTTGAGAAAATATTGCGAAAGGTGCTAAAATCACTATACTATTCTACAATCGACAAGCGGCGGACAAAAATCCTTCCTGGTATTTCGCGAGTGAACCGAATCGAATTCTGGTCGTGTATAGTTTTTAAATATTACTGCTGTAAATATCAACTGATGAAGTCTCACTTGAACAATGTAGAGCGCTACGAACAAACTTAATACAAGTATGTTCTTCATGGTTCAGAATTGCGTGCTTCGTTCCCACTGACTGCCACAGACTATCTAGCGTAAATGCCATTTCTCACTTATCTATAATTATTGCGTGAATCAGCGACCGGATGCTGGCATTATTAAACCGCGGGCGGAATTACTGAGCATCAGCGATTGATTGTATAGCATTGTTAGATCGGCAATGTAGGAAGGACGTTTACCCAGGTGTTTCTATCTATCAATCGCATGAAACAACCTAGTGTGACTTACGGTTTCCGCAGTATTATTACAACCGGTAAAATTGAGACCGTGAAGTTATCGATATCGAAAAATCCGGCAGGATTTAACGGATATAAAATTCATGGCCATGCGATTGTCTAATTTTCAAAAATATTTCTCAACTTAAAAAATCCGCATTCAGGCCAGTCAATATTAGCCTTGTATAGCCTTGTGTTACTGTGCACTTGTTTTCTCTCAGTGCCGCCAATTTTGCTGGACGGCATTTTCTCCTGGACTTTTGTTTGCGCGTACATTGAAATACACGGTCAGATATGTGATCTGTGTGCGCACGCATGTAGCGAATTAATGTCGGGATCGCTTACCGAAAATTCAAGGTGATTTCTTTCAGAGTGAATTATTCATTGTAACTTTTACGCAAGCATCCGGCACGAGCGGATGATAATTTTTTAGTTAAAAATTCGTCACCGGTACGGCGAGTCAACAAATTTTCGTTCGAACTTTTGTGTGAAATGATACGAAAAATAATATGGGTGAAAATATTTTTTAAAATGTATCATGCATTTATCATGAACAGATACATCCTATCTACGTAACAGATTTAACAGATTCAACAGCATCTTAAAGGAGAAATATGAGATCGCGGATCGATCGAAGAAAAATGATGCGCGTGAAAACGACGCTACGAATCTAACTGTCTTTTGGAATATTGTCAAAGGTAAACTAACGTCATGAAAATCTTTACATTTTTTTTTTTTTCAACAAATTCCTCCGAATATTTATTAACCCAATTAAATGACATATAATGATAATGACGATTTCCCAGTTTTAAAAATACCTAAGGTGGATGGCCCAGTCATCGGCCATGTACAAGTAATCGTCAGCTTTGTTATAATACTGTAGATTTTGCTATAGTCGAAACATACACTGACGATTACTGGTACATGGCCGATGATTGGACCATCCATCCTATACTCTTTTAAGACGTAATCGTTAACAAGAAAACTATTTTGAATACTAATTTTACCTCGCTCGGATTTCATATATGAAAAACGTGGCTCATCTAATAATCTCATATTTAAAAAAAAAAAGAAAAAGAATAAACTTTTTTTTTCATTTCTGACATCATAACTCCGTGCATGCACCTACACATAGAGAAGGTGAACGGCAGCCTTAACATAAGAGAACGAACATTTTTCATCGGTCTGGCAAGGAACTCAGCAATGCCAGGAATCGGAGGAGCGGCCCGAGGCGACTAATCAAGGGTAATAAAACATTCGGATCGTAAGCACCAAACGGTACTGCTTGTTCCACGTCGACAGAACATTTAGCAACCGACGAGCCGGCAAAGGCTGCGTGGCGCTAGTATCGGATGTGAAAAAGTCGAGCAACATTAGTGAAACACAGCGACGCTCTATCATCTGGCAGTGCGCGTACAGTTAAATAAACTTAGGAAAATGCATTCGTGCCGGTTGCACCGGATGCGACTGTCATCCTGGGAACCCATGCATCATCTTCATAGAGCCGCGCGCCATCGTTCTATAGTTATATACCACCCTCTTCTATGCACCTCCTGTCCCTTCTCAATGGCCTTTCCCACTCTCCCACTCCGAACCACGAACATTATTAATCCTCTGTTTTGGTCCCAGAAGTATTTTCGTTCGCGACGATATATCCCGCGAGAATCCTTCGGCCATTAATTCATCGCGGTGAACCCTTTCACAAGCGACATCCGACTATTTACTTCCACTAGACTCCTAGGATCGGCCCTGCTCGTATGTCAATGTTCGTTAGAGCTACTGTAGCACGTCCTATGCACGAGTTTTTCCCAAAGGTTCTACTCCGTTCAACCTTTTGGTAAATCGTGTATTTTGTTGCCTATAGCATCGGGACAACGCGGATGTATTAATAACGGGCTTAAAAGCGTACTAAGAAACGTCTTTATATACACAGAAGACTCTGATCTTCAATTTCCACTTGGACTTTTTTTCCATCGTAGACGCCATCGCGACTCCTTTAAATTTACCTACATCTATCAGATCGCCCGGTGAATTTGTACTTTTTGTTCGAGTTCCTTTTCATTCCTGTCACGATAATAATACTACTGAATATATGTATACTGCTTTAGAAAATCAGAGCCAATCCCAAGTTATGTACTATCAGAAATCTCGAAAGGTATTCCCCGTACGGGAGTATAGCGTACGTGAAGCGAAGTTCATAGGTGCTAAGGAGTTCCTGGGGATATTTCGATCGTCGGTGAGGACGTTAATGCTATCTCCATAATCACAAGGGTTGAGTGACAGATACGTGATACGGAAACAGGTCGGTTCGTTCGCTCAGGCCATTACTAGTCTCACCATCAATCCCTGCGATTAAGCTAATAATTTCTCGTCGGCTCCGGGAGCCACGGCTGTACCGTAGCAGGGTTCACGACATGGTACAGGCTGAGTTACCGTTGATGCCCCTCGAGATATTCCAAAATATATCGCGCATACCGATATGATGTACTGGGCAAACACGTAACGGGATTTAGGGTCTTTCAAAGCAAGTATTTCCGACCCTTCGATCGAGCCAACTCCGGCTGCTGGACTGTAAATCGAGGACGAAACTTCGAAGGTGAAGGTTAGACATAAATTTTAAAAAATTTTCAATCTCAAAAAAAAGGATTTCAAATAAAAGTTATAAAAATCATTAAAATACATTGTTATATTTACCATACTTTTTATACCTTCCATACGATATTGAAAATTTTGTCTAAAAAAATTTATCAATCCTCCGCCATCTTATGACAAGACTGCAATCCTAGAGAAATGCTTTTCGATAAATTCATCATCAGTCACGCCTGTCGGATGACTGGTGACTCGCGCGGGATTCTCAATGTATACATTGACTAATACATCTTATGCATTATTCCATGACGCGGATCCACTACCGTGTTTCCCCAGGGAGATCGATCACTTAATCATGTCGGGATAAGGATCGATGGGACGCCAGGACAATTGTCAAGTCTGGGCAAATTAATTAAAATGATATTGAACAACGAGGAAAGCACCTTATTAGCCATACTTCATTATGCCCAGATGTATGGATGCAACGTAGACGGTAATTGAGTCTCCTTGAATTTTAATTTAACAAGTAGAGTCCTACCAGCCTATCCCGTGTCTACTGTCTGTCCTAATATCCCAGCGACACTCACTATCATTCTCACATCCACTCCGTGCTGTTATGTGAATGACTGCTCGACTGAAATTCGTGTAACTGTCATTAAATTAAGCGAGTGTTTCCGTCCGATACCCAAGCGAGAAGTACAGGACATTTACATACCGTTCGGACCCAGCTAACAAGTACATACCGAACAAACGTATATACTGACCACGTGATGTACTTGTTTGTTACTATTGATCTCTTCGAAATTGATTTAAATGTCTCTCGGACTTGAGTCAGTTACATTTGCAGCTACAATTATTTATCACTACAACTATAGCATTTGTATAGCTTATGTCATTAATATCAAAAATTCATCCCTTGATCCATAAGTAATGTCATACCATTACGTTTTTATTTTTTGTACTAAAGAAGGGTATGTGTTGCGATTAATATAGTTCGTGTGCCTGTGTATCGTATATCCTGTTTCTTATAACTTTTTTCAATATCCAATGCGCATACAGGTAGAGAGGTATAATTCATTGATCAATGAATTATAGAATAAACATACTGATTCAATGTCAGTACATTCAGTATAAAAATCTTTTGATCTTGCAAAGTGCTCAACCGACGATTGCCATTTGCATACAAGTAGAAGAGTTTGGTTAAACAGACTTAGAAACTCCGAAACACTTGACCCCGTTTCCTTTTAATCCCTTGAATGAGACACACTGCAGGAAAAGGCCCGGTTCACCGTCCATCGTTTCAATTGATATTATCGTCTCTCGAGTACGTGGATTGTGGTTTTCCTAACTTCAAAAAACTATCCACCCTTTTCAAATGACCGATTCAATCGTCTTTGCAAATGGAAACGATAGCGAGCCAATCTCATCGTGAAGTTTCTACAGTTGCAAAGTTGTTTTATAGAGAGAGAAGTTATACCGAGAAGGTAAAAAAAACAAACGTGAAAGAAATGTGGAATTCAAGGTACGAGAAAGATTTCAAAGGTTGACATTAGATGCTACCCTTCGAGATTACCTTCAGTCAGTGTCTGACTGCTTGATTGTCTTAAAGAAAATTATTTTACTTAATCGTTCAACATCGCAATGAAATACTTTGTCCAATAAAAAATAGTCCTCGCCTGACAAAAGAGAGAAATGAGAAAAAATGATGGAAATAGGAAAAGCTCGTTATAAGAGATACGCTCGATCAAAATGAATTATAAGGACTCCTTTTTTACCAAGATAGTACAATTTTGAGTTTACGTTCCTTTACTCCATATTGCTTTGCATATATATATATATATACATATACATATACATATACGTAATTGCCCTTTGTACTCTAGTACCCTTGAGCGACTGCACGAGCTTTATTACTTCAAGACTCGTCCGTGGAAATGCTTAGACTCCAGCTCACTGTGAAGGTTCGTAGTCTTCCTATTATTATTATTATTATTACTACTCCTCTTATTAGCATTATCATTGTTAACGTCAAAGCGCATATTTCGTATATACTTAAACTAAGATGCGGTATCTAAAGGAAGGGTGAAGCTATGCACTTGGGAAACTTATTAGGTACATTTTGTACGGGAATGGCGAAGCATTGCTGCGTTTAACGAGGACCGAATGCCTCCAGGGATCTTTTGCTTCTTGCGATTTATCTCTATACCAGGCAGCGCTGCTGCCATAAGCACGTTCTCCAGGTGGCTT